AAAATCGGTGCTTATTATCCGATCTTTACAGAGCATATATAAAGACATCTTAACAAGTAACAAAGCTAAACTAGACGCTTACAAAAATTAAATTTATTAATATCAGCTGAATTTTGACAAAGACCTTTGAAAATATCTTTTGTGCAACCGCTTTCCGCCAATTTACCACTGTTGCGGGTGGAATTTGCCAAATCCCTGGAACACAAATTCCTTATGTAGATCTTTGATTTTTGTTTGTTTGTTTTCTTTTAAATTTTTTGTGGTTTATTTCCAGATCTTGTATCCTGTTACTCTATGTGAGCAACTTTTATCAGAGTGACGTAATTACTTAGCTTAACGTAAATTGTAAATTTAGAATTAGTTTAACAAATTATACGTATATTTACAGAGACATGTTTAGGGGTATTTATTGCAGTTTGTGACCTACATATATATATCGATCGACTAGGTCAGTTGGGTAGGTCCTCTTCATCTTTGGGGCTTTATTGGGTAGTTCGCCGCTTGCCTGTTGACTACGTCGCCCACCATTGGTACCCTGAGGTCCTTTGCGATGTCGCGTGTGCGAATAAACCATTCGGCAACTTAAAACTTCGTCCAAAAAATCTTTGAATAGCATTCTCCGCCGAGGAAGCTTGGATACTGCGGGAAGTGTGAAACACTTCGTAAATGATTTTTCGTATAGATCTTTGGGAATTGATTTATTTGACCTCCATTTCCACCAAGAAGGAATGGAATTTTCGAAAAGGGTGAAACACCCCTCGAATGAACTTGAACAAAGATCTTTAAAAATGATTTTGAGAACGATCGGATGGTAAACCATAAAGTTTCGCTAATTAGCCACTGTTGTGGGTGAAATTTCCCGAAAACCCGTTTTAACGGGCCCTCTTAATCAAATAAGGTAACTAATGTGAAAATTTCAGCTTCCCAGCTCTTACGGTCAGTCAGTTAGTCAGTCAGTCAGGACAAACAGTTTTATAGATAGAGATAATATTATATAATTTTTATAGTTTCCTATTAAATCACATCGACAACTTCTGCTTGAATTCCAAAGGGGAAACAAAAACAGGAACACCAGCTGCAGAGCTATTACATTAATAATCATTTAAGCAGAAGCAGTTCACTTGCAAACGTCTGAAAAGGTAAACAAAAGAAAATCGAAAAAATGTCCATCATCGTGTCCACCACGGCGCCGAGAAAAATGAAATCAATATGGCAAATAAGAATATGCAATAAGATGTTCTATACGTACGACTTTTCTCAAGTGCACTTCGTTCAATGAAAACTTAAAAAATGAAATGAAATATTAAGCGAAAAAAAAAACTATGTTTGTTCTTGCGAAACAGGTCTTCAATCAATGTTTACATAAGTCTTTGAAACGAGTTTAAAGCTGTTCGGATGGAAACCAAAAAAAAAAAAAAAAAAAGAATGAATGCATTCAACAGTTTTTCCTGCTATATTTTGTCCTTGCGGATGGATTTTCCAGATTTGCTGAGATACATATACATTTTTTCCCATGCTAGCTTTTACGATTTGGACTGCGAATTTATTACCAATCAGCCAGTCGGTCATAAGGTCAGGCATACAGTTAAGCAGTCATTTAGTCAATCTATTCATTAGTCAGCCAGTCAGTTAGTCAGTATATCAATCAGTCGTACAGTTATACAGTCATTTAGTCAGTCAATTCGTTAATCAGTTACTCAGTCAGCCAGTCAATGAGTCAATCAATCATTCATTCAAGTATATAGTCAGTCAGTCAGTCAATCATTCATCCAGTCAGTCAGTCAGTAGAGGCATTCGGGCATTCTATCAGTAAATCAATCTTTCATACTGTTGTACAGTCTGTAATCAGTCATGCATTTATACATTTATTTACTTAGTCTATCCGTCAGTTAGCCATCCAGTTAGTCAGTCAGTAATTTATTCTTACTGTTATACGGTCAGTCTATCCGTTAGTCAGTCAATAAATCAATTATTCATACAGTTACACAGTAAGTAAGTCAATCAGTCCGTCAATCAGTCTGTCCGTCAGTCAATTAGTTACACAGTCAATCAGTCCGTCAATCAGTCCATCAGTCAGTTAGTCTGCAGTCTATTCGTCACTCAGTAAGTTTGCCCTCAAGGCCGTCATTTATTAAGTCGGTCAATCAGTCAGTCAGTTAGTTGGTCATGTCGCCTGTTCGTCACTCTGCTAGTTGGTTATGTAGTCTGTCATACAGTTATACATTCAGTCAGTTAGTCCTTCCGTCAGTCAGCCTTTATGGCTTACAGTTAGTCAGAGTGTCATTCAGTCCGTCAGTCAAAAGTTACTTGAAAACTGTGTTTAAGGCTCCTTCTTAGACCGAGTATATTCAGATGTTCGTTGAAATATAGTATTAACGAAGACCCACGCAATTTGTATGCTTATTGATGGTCGCAACATGTTGCAAGGCGGCATGTTGCGCTGCCGCTTGTTGCTGCCGCATGTGGTGAGTTTGGCGCAAACGAAACGCAGGCGTCGGCACACTGGCCCCTTTGGCTCGGCCAGTTGCCAACGACTCGTTCAACGTAACGGTAAACAGGCAGAGCGAAGCGCGCCAGCAAACGACGACGTTGGCGCCTGACGTCGGCGTCGTGGGCGTCGTTGTCGTCGTATACATCCCCGAGACGCTAACCGTGACCATAAACGTTGCCACAGAACGTTATCGCAAGGACACCCTGACAGCAGAGTGCGCGCGCGCGACTCTACGCAAATTTTTTGTAGTTTTTTGTTCAGTGTTGTTAAACGGCAGCAGAAGTGAAGCGACAGAGCGGAACTAAAACCTGTTCAATATCGTTAATTTTGTTCAGTGCTGTTTAACAGAGGCAGAAGTTGAACAACAAACGGAACCACAACTATTCCAATATCGTTCTAATTGTTCAGTGTTGTCTAAAAGACATTTAAGTGAAAAAATACCACTTAGTTCAATATCGATTTTATTGTTGGCACTGCAGACTGATCGTCTGATCCGGCACCACCAAATGTACAGTGCCAGCGCTGAAGATGCCGCCAGTGCGGCGGCCACCTACAAGGCGCTGCTCGACTATTACGCCAACGCACGCAGCGCTGCCAGTCACATTGTCTCGCTTACGCTGGCGCCGCTCAACGAATCGCTGTCCCTGGGATTGGCCGAGGCCGGTAATGGGAATGCCAGCGGCAATGCGAATAGCAGCGCCAGCTATGAGGATGATGCACTTTCCGCCGAAAATATCTTTTTGATCACCGAGAGCGTGGCCACCGAATCGAGCCGCGGTGCTGCTGCAGCTGCAAATGGTGTTGCCGTTGGCAGCGGCCGCAGCAGCAGCAGCAGTGCTCCCACTGAGATGCCTGCTTGGCTCATACCCAGCTATAGCCTGATCCTGCTGTGCGCTGTGGTTGGCAATCTTTTGGTCATTTCAACGCTGATGCAGAACCGTCGCATGCGCACAATTACCAATCTCTTTCTGCTCAACTTGGCCATTTCGGACATGCTGCTGGGCGTGCTCTGCATGCCCGTTACCCTTGTTGGGACTCTATTGCGCAATTTCATCTTTGGCGAGTTTCTCTGCAAGCTCATACAGTTCGCACAGGGTAAGTCTTGAGCGCCGCCCCAATTATTCCAATTCCCTGATTATATCGTCAACAATGAGTACATTACGCGCTGTCAGGCGTGTGAGGGCATGGCCGTGTGGGACTGAGCGTGTGCAAAAATGTATCGCATCAGCTCTAAGGAAGGCTAACCAACTTAAAGTCCTCTGAGAATATCTCATATACGTGCCAGATTTTTAAAATGCGTGTTCAACCAGTGTTAAACAGTGACTATAGTGTTGTAATGACTTCAGTGTTGTTAAATTAAGATCAAGCAAGTTGGCGCTTCTCAGCTTTCAAAATACTGTAAATAGTGGGATGCCACATTATCACATTATCTGGCAGCAAGTTCTATGCAAGCTAAAGAATATGTTAAGACTCAGTCTGTGACTAGTCTGTGACAGATAATAAACTGTAAAACTTCAGAATGCATAGACAGATAAGCTTAATCATTCTCTCGAAATATTTTAACATATATGTTATTACAAAAATAATCAACCCAAGAGTGCGAAAGCCTACAAGCTTAATATAGTCATCCACTTTTTTCCTTTTGAATTCACTTGTTTCCATTCAATTTATATCGGCATTTAAAAGGGTATTTTCCAGTCATACATTCCTCAATATCTTACTCACGTACTTTTATCGCTAGCTGCGTTTTTGCGAAAGATGGTAAGCTGTGCACAAAAAGGAAGAAATTTGTTCAATTTTATAAATTTGTTGCAGTGTTGTAAAATGCTATCCAACTGTCAGTGGCAACATTTGAAGGGCAGCTGCCAAATTTATCGCACAAAGTACTTTTGCATATAATATTTTGATAGTTGCACACAAAGACACGTCCAAACCAAATTTAATATATTCCCTACGCGCCCTTAGCAAATGTCCTGCCGTCACTCCTCAAGTCCTCATCATTTATTAATGGCCAGCTGCTCAATATGTATATACAGACATGCATATGCATATGTATGTTGAGGAAGGAGCTTTCATTATAAGAAATTTTTCCATGAAAACTTAAATTCAATAAGCAGTTATCAAAGTAAGCTGCAGTCGAATGCTGTCGACTGTGCAATACTCTGTTTTGTCTGGACACTTTGGGATTTGAGGTCGGCTGTTATGTTTCATTGACCTACATAATATTGACATAGCCTGAAGACATATATGGGTACAGTAAAAAACCTCTTGGACGGACATCGAAGGTGGGGTAACTTTTGTCCGTTCAGATAAAAGTACGGACAAGAGAGGGACAATACACAGATATTGTCAGTCCAATAGAAGTGTAAGTGGAAAGAGTTCTCACTGATAAGCCAATATACCCTCTTTAAAGCAGAGTATAAAAATCGCATAAATTCAACTGTCAACAGTTTTGGCTTCGCATACGAAATGAGCAAAGTTTTATATACAGTATGCAAAAAAAGGAACGTTTACCAACAGAAAGTTTTAAGAGATACGTTCATATCAGATATATAATTAACATACAATCGTTACACTAAAAGTTGCAACATTTCCGTCGATTACATCCATTTGGCGATGAAATAAGTAGTTGAACGAAATAAAACTTTTCAGACTGTGGCTGTGAAGAGAGAAATAAAAAAGATAATTTAAAAGGAGAAATTAAAAATTCAATTATGAGATTGTTCAATCATGCCAGCGCACAATTACCGACATGAGCGCTAAAAAGCAAGCTTAACAAAAGGGCTCAAATCTCTGGAGAGTAAATAAACACGTTAATCAATAGGGGGGAATGAAATATGCACAAAATTTTGACAATGGTTTTTAAAGGACCAAGTTGCCAGGGATACGGCAGGTAAACATGGAAGAATAAAAAATAAATAATAAAATAAATAATAGCAAAAAATACACACACATATGTACGTACTTTATGATCCGTCAAGTGCTCGAGTTTTGACAGGCTCTCATCGAATCACAAGATTAAAATGTGTTTACAGAAGAAATTTATTCAATGATTTGTATTGATTATTTATTTTTGGATTATGCCAAGTGCTGCGAGTCAAAAAAAAAAAAAAACGAAAATTAAAAAGAAAAAGAGAAAGTAGAAGAAAGCTAGGTAACGACTGTTTATGTTAAACAGGACTTAGCAATGTTTTCGTTTTAAATTGCGTTTTAATTTATTTAATATCTTGCTTTGACATCAAATTCACAAGGCTGTTGTAACTTGAGGCTCAGTTAGAGCTGGGACCCGGTGTGTGTGTGTGTGTGTTTCCCTAGATAAACTAAGTAGTACAAGCAAACATCCCATAAGCTGACACTAGACTAAATAGATCATTTTACTTGACTGGCGGGGCACGTAATTTTATAATTATAGCCCTCCGTTGTCCATGCTGCCCGGGCGGAGTTGATGTCCTGATCTGGGGGCGAGTTGCCGCTGGCTGTTATTTGTCACATTCGCGAGTTCTATTCAAATTACAAAAAAAAAAAATTAAATAACAATTTATATACACAGACAGAAATAACAAGGCTTCACAGTTTGTTAGCGCATCTGTTCGCATTTATTTGGCATTTCTGAGCTTTTCATTTTCTAATGCTCGGCATTTAAATTGCGCGCAAAAATGTGCTAAGAATTCTGCGGATTCCCTTTCGGTTTCCATACTCTAGAAATGTCGCGAATGTATGGGATAGATGGCAGTTGAATGTCGTTCGCAGTACCCAAACACCTATGGAGCTTATCTAAAATATATGTTTCACACCATAAATCCTCCTCATGTCTTCCCACACATTTGCAATCCAATCCAATTCAATCTAGTTTAATCTAATTATAAGAGCTTCTTTCTCCCTTTCACTACATCCTGGTTCTAAATACAGGGCATCTTGCGCCTGGACTATGCTTAATGGAGCATATTTTTTTCTCTTCCGTTTTTCGTTTTTGATTTATTTTTTTTTTTTGACTCTCTCGCGTTGGCGGCTGGCCGTCACAGCCCGCCCACCCACTCGATTCGCGATTTTACTTCTTATTTCCGATGCTCTTTTGTCATGCAAATGACATGCAAAGTGGGGGCGAGGGCGGCACCCGGATAACATGTAGCACAATCATATTGGAAGAAACGAAAGCGAAAACAAAAACAAAGACTCAAACAATGATAAATTGAATACATGAGGGAAAGATTAGTAGCGTTAAACCGGCGATAGAATACACTTTCAATTTCAATTGACTCAAGATCTTTAATTTCCAACAATTGTTCCTGCATAATATGCCCATCCGATATTGATAACCTTCACTCAGCTCGCTTGCTCTTTAGCTATATGATATTTAAAAGAAAAACTGTTTTCCGTATATACTTATACTGGTTCGTGATGGTAGCTTTTAAAATAATCGACTAGTTGGCATTCTGACTCGCCTGTTGATGCTGCTCGTGAATATATATGTATATGCCTTAATGGAACGAATGCCGTCTTCATAGATATGCGTTACACATTTCGTGACAGAATTTGAATACCCTAAAGAACATTAAAAAATAAGACGCTTTGCGTTGCCAGATATGGCCAGTGCTCCGTTCCACGTGCCCCGTTCTCAATATGAAGATCCTGTACACTTGCCCTGCTTCCTGTACAAATGCGTGCTGTATTCTGTATTCCGCTTGCAAGACGCCATAATTTGGCCCAAGATTAAATCTGGACGCGTATTTTTTGCATTGTTACTTGACGTGCGGCCCTCTCAGAATTGTAATCATTTTCGCTGCCACTTGCCACTCATTAACATGTTGGGCATATAATGCCAATTATTTCTCAAATAGAAGGTCGCCAAAGCCAGCATTATGTAATATATATATATATATTTAGCACCTTCTTATATGTCGGTCTTTTCGCTATGCAAGATACATATATGAGGACATCAAATTGATAGATATTCTTCATGCTGAATAAAGTCTTAAACGTATTTTTTCTACATTATTTTATCTCTTTAACTTTAGTTTCATTTGCAAATAGTTCTTCAATATTTACATTTCCATAGCATACTTTTTTGGTATATATTTAGTTAGCTGGCTCGAGGTCCGAGGCCTAGAAAATAGTCTTATTTAATAATGTCTTCTCTTTTTTATCGAGGGTAACTCACAGTCGTGTATGCCCGACCGGCCGCAGGCTCATTGTTCTGCGTGTTGTTTTTGTTTTTATTTTTTTTTTTTGCTATGGGCTTACATAAGTTTCTAAATAAAATTTGCCGTCGGCCTTGGGTAGCCCCAGCAGACGCGAATTTTTGTCCTATGTTAGTGTGTGTGTGTGTGTGTGTGTGTGTGTTGTAAGTGTATGCCTGCTAATGCGCCTACAACATAATCATAAACATAAGCAACAATAAGCAGCGAGCGACGACCTAATTCCGCCTAATTGTCTGGCCAGCGCGCGGGCCCCAGCCATCCCCTTGAACCCCATTTCCCGACCGGCGGCCAATCCAAATTTCATTTCCATTTCCAGTGTCGCATCTGCCAGTCGCGCCGTTTGGTTGACAAAAGTGTGACGCCAAATTACTTTGCTCCCACGCAACATTAGAAGCTGAGGTGAGAAGCGGAGAGGAGGAGGGCAGCAAATGGAAAGTCCTGCGGCAAATATCTTTTTAATAGAATCCGACCGGGGGCAGCTGTTGTTTAGGCTCTGACAAGTGTTTGATTTGAAATTATTTGATGGCTATTTCGTGCTGTAGACACATGCCCATAAGTCGACATGCTTATCCTCTAAATATATCACCGACCCACGCCTGGCTTAAGTCGCAACCACAAGTTAAGGACAGCCCCAGCAGCAGGATAAGAATGTCACGAAACACTTAATTCCAATAAAGCACGAATAGGGTATGCTCAAGCAGAGAGCGCTCACTGAAAGGTACCCCCGAAAATCAAGTTTTTAAGAAAAAACCCGCCTACCAAATTTTCCCTATTTCTTTCATAGAGAATAGCTTGCTTAAGCTGAACATGTATATAGCTAAGATGTTAGTCTAATAGGGCATATTGCCGCCTGCAAGTGTGGAAATCGGTGGAAAACTTTTAAATGCAACTTTGGGTTTTTTAATTTTCCTTTCGAACTTTAAGACTCAGCTCGACAGGAAAAATTAATGACTTCCTTGCCAACGTGGCTACGCTAGCAAAACGAGAGGAAAACAAATTTTGCATTTAATGAGGAAATACTTTGCGCTCTAAAAGCCGAACAAGCATGTTAGTTAATATACTTTATAATGTCATAGATGGCTCCTTTGGTCTGCGCAAGGGCAGGCACAACTTTTTACTAAAAAAAAAAAAAAGTAGGAAGTATTCACATAAAAAGTTATGTTAAAATGGTAAAAGGAACGAGTTGTCTATAAGTTTTCCGCATGAGTGGTAAGTATATACTTATGTGTATATATGCAAGCATATATAAGTATATATGCTTATGGACACATTTGAGTCCTTGTATGGCAGTTGTTGGTTTCAGTTGTCTGGCATCAAACTGTAGTTCGTGCCGGCAAAAGTCAATAAAACGATTCACATGCAAAGATAATCATAAAAAATGATTTTAATGTGCCCCACAATTCTATATTAACATACAAATTCAGAAGCATTCAGCTACTTTATCGCACACATTCACACACACGCACCCGCTCCAGATCTTATATATTGCCATATAGTGTCTGAATATTTGTAATTTCGGCTAATTGAAGGCATCGTTCGGAGTTAAGCCCAAACATAGCTAGAAAATTATCGTAACTGTATTTTAGTGGGCCATCATCATAATTGGCTAACACTATTTGCCAGCCTAGGGCTGGTCGTTAAATACCAAAACCCTACCAATACACTTAACTCGGATCCCTTAAAACTTACAAGCTGTCTGTAAAGTATGAAGTTAAGAATACCAGGGCTGCAAAGTTGCTATTTCTCAGTGGTTTGGTTCAAGGTGTGAGCCAACAAACTGCCTTTGTATGCGGCTCGAGCAACTGGTTCGAACAGGAATTTCGTAATTGGTTTAAGACCTGGTTTGGCATTGCAAATTTCCTTTCACAAAATTTATGCCAAATATAGTCACTTACCTAAATTGTGGTTCATTAATGGCTATTAATTTATTGGCACGGATACGGTTTGTTATATGGTTCGATTATGGTTCAATTGGGGTTTTGGTTCCGTTTTTTTTTTTTACAACTGATTCGTTTTGAAGGTTCGGTTTAACCCTCTAAATACTTAAGCACAATTATTTTCCTTAACCAATTTATAAAAGTCTGTAAGACAAAAGGAAATATATGTATAACAGGATACATTTGGGCATTTGATAGCATAATCGTTGATTGGCCGCAAATGTGATATTTCGTGCTTTCGCAGCCTGTTTCGCGGCTCGGCCCCGGTTGAGCTCGGGCCAGCTTTTATATGATTTCCATTGCTGGGCCAGCAAATGGCCCACATTTAATTATTGTTATTGTGTGTGCTGGGGCACTTAAGTGCATGTTACCTTTAAGTAAGCCACATTCACCGACTGTCATAATCACGGCTTTAGCTTTGTCAGGCATTTGCACAGGTTTTGTCGGCCGCACCGCAAGGCGGCTTAGTCGAGTGTAAAGGAGCAGTTTTGGGATATACTGTTGGGTAAAAGGGCGAGCGGGGTTTTAGAAACAGTCCTGGCCCCCAGCTGAAAACTCATTAGGCAAATTGTGCAGCCTGCCAAGAAGCTTCTCGCCCACTTTTGCTGGAACAAAGCGAACGACAATAAAAACAAGAACAATTGTCAAGCGACAAAACAAGTCCCAAACAGAGTGCAGTTACGATTCTGTCCAGCTTTGGTTACGAACCAAAATTTCGTACAAGCTGAGGTCCTTGTATAGCTTAATCCATGCTGCCAGCCTGGT